TTAAGCTATAAGAGGGACAGAAAGCAAAGCCTCCCCCAAAGGTCATAAAAATCAAGCGAGGCTTGTATGAGAGAACATGGCCCTTCAAATAAGCAGGTCCCATGTCCTAAAAGGCTTTTGGACAAGTGCTCTGAGTCTGCCCAGAAACAGAATGGTAGCCAATGAAACTGTTGGAAATCATATACTCCTTTTAACTGGTCCCAGTCAATAACTTTGGTTACAGTTTTCCAAATCAGGTGATGTTTGTTTGCACTTGAAGGCAGCTTCAAGTAAAACACTCTTCTGTCATCCAAACAAGATGCAACCGAGGCACATGCTACATGGGCAGCTGAAACATCAAGGACTGTCTGCTGTTTGTGCATTCATTTATAGCATTGCAAAAGCATTCCAAACTACCAAAAAAAGCATGGGAGCCCAGAATCAGGTCTGAATTTAGGAGCACAGCCAAACTGCAAATTTAAATCCTCAAGGGGTCTATAAACCTATCCAAGAAAGTTTCTTGATCTATCTTTCTACTAAATAGAAGCACCTCTGCCTTATCTGGCTTGAGATTCAATTTGTTCACCCTCATCCATTCTGTTACTGACTAGAGAAAGTGATTCAGAACTTCCTTAGTTTACATGTAAAAAGAGGAAGAGTTGAATGTCAATAGAACATTGGGGTTACTATTAAACCCCAAACCTCCAATAGGTTTGGGGTTTAATAGTATGATGCTCAGATGATTCATAGAATCATAGAATACTAGAGTTGGAAGGAGCCAGATGGCCACTGGGTCAAAACCCCTGCTATTGCAATACACTAAGTTATAGCATCCCATTTAGAAAAGAAAGCACTTAGAAAGAAAGCACTTTCTGAATGCCTCCAGCAAGGGAGAGCCGACAACTTCTCCAAGTAATAGGTTCCACTGTCATACTGCTCTGAGAGTGAGGAAATTCTTCCTGGTGTCTAGTCTAAATCTGATTTCTTTTCACTTAAGTCTGTTATTCCTTGTCCTGCACTCTCGAATGAATAAGAAGAGATCTTGTCCTTCCTCTCATGTTGATGTTCAAGAGCATGGAGGACAAATGGAACCCTGAGGAACATCACAAGCCAGTAAATGAGATGTTGAAGTGGCATCCCCCTGCACCACCTTCTTGAACTACACTTCAAAAGACCATAAGACAATGCATCCCAAATTCAATTCCAATCAAGTGCTCCAAATAAAGGTACCATGACTGATGGTATTAGAAGCTTCAGAGAGATCTATTGGAACCTGTCTTCATGACCTAATGATGACCCATGAGTGCATCTACCTGTAGGGACTGGGCCTGCTTCTCCCAAAATTCAGCATTCTAAGATGACCCCAAATCCAAACTGGAAGAGGGTGGGGATTGGAATGTTTAGCGGAAATGCCAAGGTTCATGAGCTTTGAGATAAGCCAAGCAGTTGGTAAGAAGCAGACCATATCCAGTATGGTGCAGCAGGGGGGGCACTGTGGAGCAGGGAAGATAAGAGAGGAAGGGGTGTGACTTTATCAGTTCCATGGTCAGACTCCAAGTCACAGGAGCAGGCCAATTAAGTAACATCCCTGCTGCCTGACCAACAAGCAGCACAAATCTCCCTGAGGATGGAGCTAACTCCATTTGGTGGTGAAGAGAGGAAAGGAGTTCAGTTAGGAAACAACTCCTGCTGTGTATGAGAACTAACTCCACAATTAGAGGGTCTTGATAATTGCTCCCACTAATAATCTTAATATTACTCTCCTCATATCACAAAGCCAGTCTTGGCTGGTTAACTTTCACATAGTTAAGACTGTAGTTAGAAGCCTCTCATAATGATGTGATGAGAAAAGGAGAGGGGTTGGGGGAGAGGGAGAGGGACTAACTCACTTTCCCACAAAGAGAATGGCCACATTCTGTGGGTTATGCTAACCCAAAGTTGGGTGAAGTAATCTGTTGACCTAAATAAGAACAGGTAATTTTTGCCAGCTTTCAGCCCCGCCCCACCCTAATCAGCACCAATCCAAGAGACTCCCAACAGTTTTTAATATCTGTATATTAATTGGTAAAGAATAGTAAGTATGAGTGGAAAAATTGGGCAAGTCAATGGATAAGCAGTCAAGCTGACAATGATAAGACTTTACCAATTCTAGACCAACACAGGTATCAAAAGCTACCACAACAGTTCTTTCTTTTGCACAAGATGCATGCTTTAGAGGTTAACCCAAGAGGGCCTGGAATTCATCTTCCTGGACAACAGCAAGCCAAGCAAAGAGGAGTGTTACACAAGTTGCTCAATTTGCCTGCCATTAATTCAGGTGCTTCACTGCAGCTGCAGAATATAAACCGGAAGGGCTGGGAAGAGTTGGAATGTTGCAGTGTTATCTTGGATGGGGGACAGGGGGCAAAAACACAGGAGTCAACACTGGGCCAGGGACAGGCATGCAGAGGGCACACACTGTCAGCTAGAGCTGGAAGACAGACTGAGACCAGAGAAGAGGAATGGACGCCATGCCAAATAATTGCCACTACCCAGCCCCATTTTACTCTAGGCCACACCACTTCCTTTTCATCTGGATGCTTAAGAGAAGTGATCACTTCAATGGGCCAGCCCAGTAAGTCAGGATAGTGCTCCTTTAGTGCTTTTCAATACAAGTTCTACAGCAGCCACCCAGATTGTGGCATAATCACAGTCCATTCATTTACCAGCTCAGTGAGACAATCTAAGGGAAAAATAAGGTAATTCAAGAGAGAAGCTTTATCACTGTGACAGTGGTCTGGGGCTATACCCCAAAGGTCTGGGGCTACACCCCAAAGAAAAAGCAGAGCCACACAAAACAAACCACTGCTGTCCACATACAGCAGACCATGCCGTTCCTATAAGCCCCTGCCGCCTCACTGGCCCTACCACGCCAGGAAACTTGTTGTCAAGCCACAGCAGGGGATGCTGCCACTGCTGCAATCCAGTGGGTGTCTCAGGGGTTTCTGAACGTCTTTCAGCCTGAACTGAATTTTGGAACAGCTCTCAGGGACTGTGTTCCAATGGTGGGTGGTGCAGGAGAAATGCAAAAAGGGGGGCACCATATCTTACATCCAAGATCATTCTGCCAGTAGTTGAGCCTTAGAAGAGGGACTGAAGCCTTTAGAATTGGGGGTGGGGACTGCACAAAAGCCAGGAAACACCTATCAGCAGTCAGTATGTACAGTGAATGGGCATGATCATCTGGAGAAGCCCTGAGGGGTGGATTGGGACCTCCAGCAGGCCAGATTTGGTCTGCAGGCCTGAGGTTCTCCCTCTCCACTGCAAAATACTTAAACAATATGAGGTGTATATTCAGTATACATCGAGTATACTGCCATTATGTACTTAGCATTTTATAGCATTTTGGGGGTATGTCCTTGTGAATTCTTGATAATTGTTACGGTAATCCTGCAAGGCAAGCTAGTATTACCCCTCACATTATAAAGGGGTGACTGACAGGAGTTTCTTGCATAAAGTGACTTGGTAAGCACAGACAGAAGTCTTCAAATGAGATTTTCCATCCAAAACTGAACCACAATGCTAGCCTCGAGCAAACATGGTACAAGTTCCAAACCCGCTACAACATTGCCCGATGCCTGGACATATCAGGAAGGGGTGCAGTACCCACTTAAGGAACATTTGATGGAAATGGAAACTAATTGTGCAGAAAGCCATTGACAGGACAAGTATTATAATCCTGAATAAGTTGAGGACACCTTTCTTACAGAGGCAGTGAACCCAAATCTGAGTTACACAACTTTTGCTTGTGAGTGGAGGACAGAATGCATTAAGGTTCCATCAGTGGATGTGTGATAAGAGCAGTAATTAATTGTTTAAGATATATAATTTGCCTTAACGGCTTGCTTATATGCAAGCAAATTATGACTAGAGTTGAGATCAACAGATCACTTGTGTCAATCTAATTCTGATGCAGACACCCATTTCACGCCTCCTAAAGCTGCCTACGGATTTCATCTCACCATGGAAGTGATTACTCTGCCAAGATGTGCAATGTGTTTTGATGTTCTGCATAACTGCAGGAATTCTGTCAGCTCAACAAAGCTGTGGTGCAGGCTCTCCCATGGCATGCAAATTTCTGGAGCAGGAATATGCTCCCCCCCTCGAAAGGGAGACTTTCATATGCAAACATGCTCCAGCTAATAGTACCACTGTCTCCAGTGTGAAAAACTAAGCAAAGGGAAAGTTAAAGGGAGAGAGTGGGTGGGGAGAAAAAGAAGAGCTGCTAGAAATGTGAACATCTACTTGACCCAAAATATCTAAGTGAAATTCAAAACAGATGACCAATTCTGGAATTTGCTCTACTGGAAAAGGGTAGGGAAAACTTAATTTGAGGGCCACATACTAGCAGTGAAGGTGGGTGGTAACATCCCTTCTTCCAACCTTATCCATACCACACAGACTCATGCAGAATGGGAGGTTTAAACATGTTGCTCAGCTGAGTGGGAGAAAGCAGGAGACCAGGAGGGGTTGGAAAGGAAGGCTTTCCGGGTCTCTGAATCCTTCCCCCCGCCCCCAGTGTGGACCACCACACCCAGAGACTATATATGCTCTTTGTGGGGAATAAGGAAATTAGAAAGTCTGTAAGCCATGAGAAATGGAAGCAATGGAAGAGAAGATGGCTAGACACTTGATAGTAAAGACATTCCACAGTCAGGGGAAAACAGAGAATGAACCAAAGGTTTCCTTTGCTGGTTTCTGTGTCCTGCTTTTATCAAGGGTGCCAACTTCGCTATTGAAGAAACCTCCAGAAAGATGCTGCTCTCTCCCCTAAACCTCAAGAGCAAAATGGAGCAGAATCTATAAACTTGCTTCCCAGATTGTATTATTATTCGTAAGTGCAACAACATCTTAAAAGATAATAATTCTGCCCCATTATATTATTAACCAATGGACAGAAAACATCCCTCCAGGACTGCCTTAACAAAGCTCCTACAGTAGAGCAGGAACAATAAAACTGTACAAGTCATAGATGTTCCTACCTGAGTCTCGGACGATGATCGGAGGGTGTTCCAGTCCGCCGGGCTGTACCATAGTCTTGCATTGTGCCATAATCCAGGTCATCACATCCCATGCTACGCTGGTCATCTTCTAGCCCATAAGGCTCAGCATGGAAGCGATTCAAGTCCATGTTGCTTCCCCCTACCCGCACCTGCGGCTGAGGGCCATAGACATCCTGCCGGCTGGTCGCCCGGTAGCCATCCATGGAGGGACGGTAGCGCTCATCAATCCGGGTCACACGGGACAGGCTGCCGTAGTTATGTTCGCTGCCATGATAGCCATCCTCGTATGGGCGGCCATAACCATCTGGATAGTGGTAATTTCGTGGGAGGGTGGCCGTGCCTGGCTGGCTCATGTAGGCACCAGGGCCACCGTTGGTGTTTTTCCGGAAGTTCCTATCTATGGTCTGGATGTAGTTGTTGGTGACTGGAGAGCCATCCGCAGGTAACCCATCTGGACCGACAGGAACTTGCTGTACAGTGCGTGTGGTCATGGTCTTCACTACTTTTTTCACCTACAGAATAGTGACACAAAAAGCTGTTTGGCTTCTGACACTTCCTCTCAAGCCACAGTTGTCTTGACAGCTGAAGAACTTGGTTCACTGCTCACTTCCTGCACTGTGTATTTTCCCATTCGTTCCACTGGGCATCACTCTCCATAGCCTCCACTTCTGTAGATCTGTTTCAAAAGTCTCTTGTCTTGGGGCAGCTTTCTGTGCCACCCTGCCTAATGCCTGCAAATGCTGCACACTGCAGGAGTGTTGTCCAGCTGTGGTTCTTTGCTACTGAGGGACAGCGCTGCAACTGAAGTTCTTAACCCCACCCCAAGACACAGCAGGTCAGCATGTTGCAACAAGGCCAAGCTGCTTAAGCAATCGGGAGCTGGTGCAAGAGCCGTGTGTCCTATCTCTCCTACCCAGCCAAACACTCACCCCATGGCTTCAGATCCTCTGCTAAACCATCACCTTCAATAGCTCTAACTGCTGTCAACATCACTACCAATATAACTGTTAACTGTTCAACTGGGCAGGTGCAATTTATGCTCGGGGGCTGTGACGTCTTCCATGAATTATTTGGCTGCATGATGTCCATCCTGACCTTTGGGGGCGGTAGCTCTCTCAGTACCTTAAACAGCCCTCACAGGCAAAAATTGAAAGGACTACCTGCTTCTTTTGCTCTCACTGGTTCTTCACTGACCACTGTCTGGCACAAACACACAGTCTTACCTCCTCACTATCCAGTTATCAAGGAAACGGCATGTTCAATAGACACAGGCAACCTGGAACCTCACAGGCATTTGAGAACAGAACTTGCATAAGCCTCAGCCAGCATGGCCAATGGATCAGCAATTCAGACCCAAAAACTCTACAAAGCCCCAGGACACCTGCTCCAGCACACCAGACAGGATGATTCGTCTGTAGCTCCTCACCGTGGTCTCCGTACGGCGGGTTGTCCCATCATCTGAGGTCTCTACTGACACAACTGACATGGCACCCTCTGGGTCCTCCTCCATGGTGTAAGTCTCTTCCACAATCTGGCCTGGGTCCTGCATCCTGGGAATGGTGCTGTATATCAGGTGACTGTGGTCCTAGAAAAATGGACAGTATTAGCCCAGTTCTGCCACACCATACTAGAAGAACTCATTCCCCTCAAACCAGGCTGTAATTGCAGAGTTCCTTATGACATCCGCCCCCTCTCTCTGGAAACAAAGAAACATAAAAAGTTGCCTAATGTGAGGGGACTTTTTAGCCAAAGTTCTTTAAAAACCACTCACACAAGTGCACAGTCTTATGCAATTCAACACTCTACCATGTCAGTTATGGTTTTTGAGGTCAAGTAGTAATTCAGACTACAGCTAATGACTCAAAAACGACAAAGTCAGTCAGGAGACATAAATGAGGTGGCATCCAACCCAACAGAGTGAGAACTTAAGCGTCTTCTCTGCACGTACTTAGCCACCCACTGCTGCAGTTCGGGCTTCTTCACTTTTTATGGAAACATAAAGGCTGCCCTATCAGGAGGTCTATAAATCAGGCTAGGTGAGCCTTCCCTAACCTGGTGCCTTCCAGAACATTGGATTGTAACTCACATACTCTTCCAGCAAGCTTCGATAACTAGTCAAAGATAAGCTCTCGGTTCTTTTCTTTACCTGTGGTCCGTTGAGTTTCAGTTCTGAGAATTTCTGCCTCTCCAGGTCAGCATTGCCCAAAAAACGGCCGTTCTGCAAGAGACAACAGGCATGCGTTTGTAACCAAGCTCAGGAAGCAAGAAAAGGGTGGAGAAGAATCACCCAAGACAGTTGAGCACCTTTAACTGGACCACTTTCATGAAGGACCACCATGACTATATGTTTGGCTTGCTATCAATTAGGAGTTTAGAAGGTTGGGCTGGTGTGATTTGAAAGTGATAAGGTAAAATAGCAGCTATACAATGCATATAGTTCATTAGATGGTTTTAGACTTCTCCAGGAATGCAGAGAAAGGTGTATAAGTTATCCTATTAAACTAAGAAAAACTATACAGGTTGAAAATGACACATTCTGGAAATAACTTGGTCAGACCCCAATGCTACAGGCACCAAAAGCTTATCTTAGTAGCTGACTAAAGCAGAGATGAACACCATGAGAAACCATTCAGAGGTTAGGAAGAGTAACTTATGAATGTAAATCAAACTTTATCGCCATCCTACTCCTACTAGGGAATTCATACTAAAATGACTCACCCATCATCAAGGCTGGATACAGCTTTCAGAAGGGCTTTGCCCAAAATACCCTCAACAGGCCTCTTCCCTAAATTTCACTTTTTACCACCAGCAACCTGGTTCTCACATCACAGAGCCAATTCCTGAGTTGTTTAGGGTTTTTTTTGTTGGGTTAACTTTTGGCAGATGCTCAGTTCTCACATCACAAGCAACTCAGGAATGTTGCTCCTGGATTCTTAAAGAGAAGTGAAAGCAAAGAGTTTGTCCTCACTGAATTTCCACAATTTCCATCTTAAACAACCCAGATCGCTGTTGGTAGCTGTTAGCCCCATCCTTCTTTCTGATCACTGCCATCATTTCCTTTCTCGAAAGGCAGGGAGTCAATGAGCAATTTACTGCTACTTCTTTTGACTACCCCCATAGTCTGGGTCACAGTGGGAGACAGGTGAAGAAATACACTGCCATACAGAAGAGGATGAGCAACTCCAGAGGGCTCTTGCCAATGGCAGGCATCCATGACCACCAGAATGAAAAGGAAAGACATAAGGAACTCTCCAGTTCAGCACCCTGTAGACCTGCAACTGCATTCACCTGTTACACCTCTAAAGCAGCTTCTAAGCCCACTGAGGCAGGAATTCTGAACTCCTACACAGAACCCGTATAGTAACCTGGGCCTCCATAAGCTTAACATATGCATTTTTATTTTAGTCACTATCTACTTCCACATCTGTATCCTTTAAGGGATACAGATAGTTAGAAGAAAGCAAGAATGGAAAAGTAAGAAGAGCTTGGTCTAAAAGCCTAACAGAAGTCACTTTCGCCACTCCTTGGGATGCTACTACATCCCTATGCACCTGCATTTTTCAAAGCTGACAGCTGCATATCAAAGTCCAAGGACTGCATATGGCTTAGAGATTTCATTACATTAAGCAGTATACAACTACTGCTAGGAAATAAAATAGAAGCATTACCACTATAAATAAGGAGGACTTCATTTTATTGTTTGGCATGCAATAGTTAATACTTATTTGGCCTGGGAATTTTTTTCGGGGGGGGGGGTGATTGTTCCGCACGAAATAGTTAATACTTTTTTGGCCTGGGAATTTTTTTGGGGGGGGGGGAGCCCATCCCATCAGTCTGAAGACCTCTTTTGGCCAGATACCACAGTCACAGCAAGGAGGCTTCAATTGCTGCTCGAGTCGATGCAGCAGCTTGCACAACATGCTGGTGAACAGTGGCTCAGAAACTATTTATTTAACCCAGGATATTCTCTAGGGAGCAAAGCACTCCAGTGCAATGGCTCGCTAGAGCCAACTCCACTTTCCAACTATGCATCCACCACACGAATACTAGTTCTGCCCTCCCCACTGTCACTTGCAAGCACACATTCCCCAAGTATTGCGAGTGCAAAATGTAGCCCAGAATTGGGAAATAGGTCTAAAGTTTAGGCTCAGAGTTGCTGCTCTTTAATTTCTGCCTCATACCACTCTTAAAGAGCCTTGGCAGGCTGTCCGATCTTCAAGCGTTGGGTGATTCTGAACACAGAACTGCAAGACCGTTGGACCAAGCTGCTCCACAAAGCGTTTCCAAGAGAAGCCACACAACCAAGGCGGCAACCCAGCAGGCACCACTTACTCCGAGGCAGACAAGCATCCCGCTTGCCCACCTCACCTGAGGCCCTTTTACCTGGTGCCGGCGTGTGAGGGTGCCGTTGGCCATGGTCTGGCTAGCATCCTGTGGGGAGACACGGACGCGCTCCAGCTGTGCAGAGACATGGCGCCGTTCTTCCTCCAGTGCCCGTGTCAGCTTCTCAAACTGTGCCTCCTGCTCTTTGACGGAGGCCAGTATACTGGCCGTCGACTCCACTTCCGAGTCATCCATGGTTGTGAAGGCCCCGTGCAGGGGGAGAATGGGTGCAAGGCAAGGAGATGCCACGGGGTTTGTGGGAACTGACGTCACACAGAAAGGGGGTTGGAGGGGCGAGAAGGAGCCCCTCACTTCACACACAAAATTGGGGAGAGAGTAAGGAGAGAAAGAAAGATCTTAGATCAGGGAAGAAAGGTGATTTTTTTAAAAAGAAAAAAAAAACTTGAAGAAGGCCAGACTCCACTTTGCCACCTCTCCCTCCCTCAAAATCAGAAGAACAGGAAGAGTCAAAACTACCGGCCTCCCCCTTGGAGCATGTTAACTGGTTCGAGAAAGAGTGAAAGAAAAGCCATCTCCCTGGAAACCAGCCTTCTCTGACCTGATGCCCCCCAGAAACACTGGACTGTAGCTCCTAGCACCCCGAGTCAGCCATAGTCCACATCTGGAGAGCACCAGGTTGGGGGAAAGATTGTTTAGACTATGGACTTTTCCACATTCTCTGTGGTTTGGCTCAGCTTCTTCCGGCTATTTTACTAACAATTCCTTAAGAAGATCCAGGTACTTTTCTTGTACCCCATCAGATCCACAATCCATATGCAGAAGGCAAGCAGGAAAAGACAGAGTATTGTGCGTTTTATTTACACAAATGCATATAATGCCTTGTAAGCGTGGTTCTCAAAGCCTGTTAGTGCAAGGAACAAGGAAGACTGCCCTCAAAACTGTCATTTGGACAACACTTCCAGCTCAAGGATTCTTCCTGTAAACAAGACTGGTCAAAGCAGTCTGTTTCAAAACATAGGCCAACTCTCTGTTAATCCCCATTATTACATTATTTATGCTACAGAGGTCTTTACAGGAGGGCCACTCCATCTCAGACATATGGTCTGCATGAACCTAGTCCAACCTGCTTGCAATCTCCAGTTTTGACTTTATTGGCAGTTCTAAATCTGACCTGCCTATCTGGGTCCAGGTTCCTTGTCTCCTGAACAGGAGGCTGCATGTCAGCTTAGTTCTTATGCATTCCTATCAGGCTGCAATAGCCTCTGAAGACGTGGCATTTGGGAAAGAGAAGTTGATTGATCTATGACCCCCCCCCCCAAAAAAACCTGTGGTTATACTGGGCAGCAAGATGAGCTGCCTGTGCCAGAAAGGGTGGAGCGGGGGGGGTGGGGGGAGTGCAACTCTTGGGAAGAAAGCTCCAATATCTTATTTCAAACACATGTACATGTGGTGGGAAGCTGCAGTATTCCACTATGCATACACGCAAAATGTTTGCTGCAAGACATTGTTTACATGCTTGTCAGCAATTCTCATGTGGAAGAAGTCAGTCTCATAGAAACAGTGGTACTTGATGTTATCCAGTCAAAGCTTTCCAAAGAACTTTGAGAACAAAATGACCACTTTCTTGGCTTCAGGTACATTTGTGTGTTGTGTGTGGTAAATATTTTAGGTTGATATTTATAAGTGGGTTCATTTTTTTTATTGTATTGCCCAGAGAATCCCAATTAGTGGGAGACTCAGAAAGATTTTATAAATAAATAAATGATCCATTTGAAAATCAGGAACAGAAAACCACTCTTTTCAATCCTCAGACTTAGGTGCAGTGCAAGATGTTCCTCAGGCCAATGCCTTTCAAGAGACCCTTCCAAGCCCACTTTTCATCAGCTGAAAACTACAGCTGTGCAACTTTAAGTCCCAATCGTAACAAGGCTAACAGGACAGGCAAGGAGAGTAAGTCCTTTTGCAAATCATATCCCTAAGCCTACGGTTGATGCTGGAGTGCTTAAGGCAAAGCACTGGCATATGTCCAACAGGAACACCTTTGACACACAGTCTACCTACTTTATGAGTTTATAAAGTTGATTTTTAACATAATCCACACAGAAAAGAGTGGTGAATGTGGGAAGGCTGGAGGGAGATGATACCCATGCTTGTATCCCATTCCCTGGGACTTCTGCTCCCCTTACCACAGGAGGAATTCCCAACATTTTAAAATGGTTAGTCTGGAGAAAAATGAGCCCACTACCCATAATGGCAGAGAACATCATGACATTAAGACTGATTTTCCATTCTATACACACCTGTGCAGGAAGGCTGGTCTGATTTGACTGGTTAAGGCACAGCCTGGTCTAAGTGCAGAAAATCATGGGAGAAGTAGCCCAGCCACCAACAGCAAGGAAGCAGGAGGGAAAAGGCTGCAGAGACAGCAGGAAGGGGATAAAATATATATATTTAAGTATGAATTTTAAAAGGAGAGAAGCAAAGGAGGCAAGTAAGGGAGGCTCTATGAGCAAACCAATTTTTATTTATTTTTACAAATCACAGTATCATCCCACCATTAATGCCCGAAGAGATTAAAAAGGGCTCTTAATTAAAATAAATAAAACAAACCCATTACCCAGTATGATACAAGACCAGCAGAGTGACTCATAGAAGTGGGACTTAACACATGAAATGCCTTCCCACTAGCATCAATGCTGTGATAGGGTTAGGAAATGCTCCACAAAATAGACAAACGCTCTTCTGCTGTTAGCAGGGCCAGGGCTCTAGCGCATCCTGAATTTGTGCCCTTATAAAATGCTGCTAGTTGTATTACTGAATTTGCATTCACTGGCAGAAGCATCCCATGGGGGAAAGAGAAGCCAAGTTTTCCTATGCTCACACCAAAGCAGCATAACAGGGAGGGGTGCATTTAAAAAAAAAAAGATTCAGTAAAAAGCCAGCATCTTTCCCCTCCCATTACTCTCACATACAAACTGCACTTCATTGCTGGTACAGTTTTTGCCTCATACTGAATATATGAGAATGATGGAAGGGCTCTGGATCATGTGTATCTACAGGCTCTCCTGCACACCTTTTTGACCTCTTTGACAAAGAAGCAGAATTTGCAGATTTTCCCACAGCTGTAGTGAGGTTTCCTAAGTAAGCCTTTCTTCTTGAAGAACAGAAATTTCTCTCCACCCTCAGAGATGAAGAACGGAAAAATTTTGTGGCCTCTGGAACTCTTGTATGGACCACAGAATTGCAACCCATGTTTGCAAGATTTCAATTCACTGTATCAGATTTTAAATAAGCATTTTTAGTCAGATGTTTGGTTCACAAGGCTGGCTATCGACACAGATGAGAAGTATGGGAAATATGAGAAGAAAACAAGTCCACACTTCTAAACTAGTTAGCTTAGTAGGCCAAGCATACAGATCTGGTATGCTGGTTGATGAACGGTAAGATATAGAAGCAGTGGTTCTCTCCCGCACTTACATCCCACCTTAGGAAAGTCTTGTCCTAGCATGTCAGAGTTCTTTAAAATCCAGTAAAAAAAGCAAAAAACAAAATCAAGGCAGAGATGGCATGCTTGAACTAGCCTAGCCTTGGAGACAGATAATGCTTCAACCTACTTTTCCCACGGTGCTGGTGACACATCAGCCCCTAAAAACAATTTAACCATAAGGCCATGGGCATAACCATTTTCAGGGCAAATCTCTTTGAAGAACATTCTAAACAGAGAGGAGAGAAGTTTAGCAAAATCCCATGACTATGATCTGGAACACAGGAGCCCATTTTGCCACGTTCCAAGAAGCCCAAATCAAAGCTTCACCTAATTCCCAAGCAACATTTCAGTCAGTAATCCCAGCCAAACACACCCATGCACAAGGCCCGATCTAAAACTGAAGAAAGTGGCTCTAAGTAGCACCTCAAGAAAAGCCTGCTGGGTATTAGTGCAAGCTCATCTTATGTCTCTAAAGCTTCTAATGCGTCCAGAATTACTTTTCCGTCTCTGTGTTACTTTTTGGCAGAGGTTTGTCATCAATAAGTGTTTTCAACATCAAAAGAAACAAATCCCAGAGACACTTCCATTCCATTATTAAGGTTCTGCAATTAAGTAGGCAAGATAAAAGTGCACATGCACCCTGCACCAGCAATTTACTGGTAGCAACTAGAATTATGATCCATTTCTACAGAACAACAACTATGGAACAATGGCTTGCTAGAATATAAAACACACAGATAATGTCTGAATCACTGAGAGAATAATACATCCCTACATTTCTATGCTGTATGACTACAATTCTTTGTATATGCATTAATTATGCTTTTTAAAAAGTTAGATGGAAACACATTCTGAGAAAGAGCATGTGTCACAACTCTGGACTATAATAGGAAGACATCCCAGTCATATTTTTAGTCACATGTTAAAAAAATTGCTTATTTGACGACCAAACTTTTTTCACTTCAGTTCAGACACTTTGGCACCAAGAGGACTTTGACCCAGAAGAGATTGTTAGTTTGCTTTAGACAGTTTTATGTGCTGCCATCCAATGGCCTCCACCCTGTAATCTTCTTCTGCAAAAAGCAATGTAGGTCTGCACCAGGAATGTACCCAAGGCCTGGAAGAGACCATGCCACACTCCTATTCTTTCCTTTGTAGGGTAGCTGAGGAAGAGCTTCTGGGCACTTCTGGGTGAACTCACCAGAAGTACTGAACTGTGTAACCCTCAGTGATATCATACTCTGGTGGCACTGCATGTCCCAATCATACAGTCATAACTCTCCCACGCCCTAGGGCACATTTGTGGCTACAGGTCCAACACCTAATATAAGGACAATGTTATCAACACTTACACTGAAGAATGGCAGCTCCGGATTCATTGTCCAGTCCATAGGCTGAACAGCTGCTTGTCCTTTCAACAAAAGAAGCTGCCTCACAGAGGTAAGCCCTTCTAAACTAGTCCCAAGCGGAGAAGACTCCATGCAATGCCGAAACCTGCCCCATTCCTTTCCTGATATGCAAAGCTCTGAATCTGTTCTATGGTCTGCTATACACCACTGTGCCATGAGAGCTGGATGCCAAAGTGTCATCTTAGTTTGCCATTTCTAAAACAGGCTTTGCAGGCTTAAACAAAGCACATAGGAGCCCCTTCTCTCAATTTGACTATTATCTTCTGCTCCAAGGGACACAGTTGTAGAATACCAACCGAGTCTTTTTCCTGTTGTTGTGCTGTTGCTGTTCAAAGGAAGCAGCACAGAAACAACAGCAACAAAAAGCAGGGAGACAATGCAATACCAAACATCCTGTAGACTTAGGCCCCCCAAAGCTCACTTCAAAAACCAGAATGCATTGATAGGCATCACAACTGAAAGGAGGATGGGAAATTATCTTCTTCCTTGCTTGTTTGACTGATGGAAAGGGCTTAAGTTCAGGTTGCAGTTTTTAAAATATAGCATGTCTTTTATATAAGAATTGCCCTGCTGGATCTGACTAAGTTCTCATTTTCAGTCAGCGCAAACAGTGATTGACAGAACCATTAATGGAACACACTGTGTGTGAGTGGCCAGCGTGTGCAATTTGGGCCATTCACACATATACAGCAACCCCAGTACAGGCAGCCCTGAATTTCACTTGCATATGCAGGATCTCTCCCCCATCCAAAAAACTGCAAAAAACTGTTTGCAAGGTTGTCATGCTTCAGTTCAATCCACCTGGACAGCTTATATTCTCTCTTGTCCCTAAGATGCCACCACTGGACACCTGGCAGCAACAGCAGGGAGCGAGACAACAGAGCTCTAGGTAAATTAGCAGAGTGGGAGCTGGCTAAAGGGATAAACCTAGCACCACCCTGAAGGTCCGACTGCAGTTCAGAAATGGCTAGAAAAAGGCCTGCAGGCCCTGTTCCCACAATGCTTTGGCAGTGGTCACAAAAGATTTAAATCAGGCACCCAGCTGGCTGGAGCTTGTGTAAATAATGCCAAAGAGGGCAAGTGATTCCCGTAATAATTAATTTCAGATCAGAGACATCATGCACATCAGAGAAACTCCCATCACAGTTTTAAGCGTTAAAAGCCTGATCCTTTGAAAAGTTTGTGGGTTTGATTCAGGCACACTCATCCTTAGAAAATACTTATTGAAATCAATGGAATATGCTAGTCATCACTAACCTGAGTCCTATAGATTTCAATGGGGCTACTCTAACCATGACTAAATAACTATCCAACCTCATAATTATATAAAGGACAGCCTATAAAAGCTTTAAATAAATGAATAAATAAATCTGCTTTCTTGTTTCTCAAATTTCACCAACTCAGATTTTGTGACAATGTTCTGAATTCCACCACAGCAGATTTCTGCTAGGGTATTCAAGGGTCTTACATTACACCATCTGAAAAACATGTGAAATTCCATGTACCTTCAACTGTTGAGATTAGACCTTGTGGATTCCAAACTTGACTACTGGAGTCTTATCTCTAGAGCTTAAACCATGTTGGGAACTATAGCCAACTACAATCACCCATGTGAGAGATTCTTTCAAGGAATAGTGCCAGGTTTCACAGAATTCTTTGTTCGGAAGGATGTGCTTGCGTTATTCCTCATGGGTCAATGCACGAATCAACAAACATTTGTATCAGTGACATTTGAAAGACAACATAAAATATCACTCACAAAATGCTCACTCTGCAAAAGGCTAATGAACAGGGTGCCTGTAAGCCAAGATGGGGTCAGAGCAATCTCAAAAGCTTCCCTGAACGTTCTTCCCAAGTGGGGCCTGGTCTCAATGTTTACTGAGTTAGCCCATGTTCTTATGATGGACTCCTGGGTCTTAAAAAATAAACAGCTGCTTAGAGTCTAAATCTCATTACCACAGCTTAATTGTGGATATCTGGCATACTAACAAGCACAACCAGTAGCGGATGTTACAGGGTGATTTAAAAGAGTTCAAGAACTCTCCATTCCCAGTAAGCCTTCTGGGAGTACTTCAGCATGCTACTTGCACATGGGAGAATTTGAAGACCCGATTCCTACATCCATACAGAATCCACAACTATTATGTTAGAGAAGAAACTTTGCTGGGAAATGAGGGCTGATTCCCCCGATGCAAGTACTTTCCAAAAGATGCCACTCAAGCATGCTACCTGCCTTCAGGAAAAAAAATGGGTTATTTTTTTAAAACAGTAATTTTCTCTAATCTATTTGCTTCGCCTTTCCAGATCCAGCATCTGTAGTCCAAACCCAGTGACCCTCAGTTTGGAGAAAAAGCAGCTATCTGTGCCTGGTCTGGTAAACAACCTTTCAGGAGCAAAAGGTATTCAGAAGGGATCCATTTTCAGCTAAAAAGCCAAGAGGGAGTCCAGTTTGTACCAGGAACATATTCTGGTGCAGCTCTCAATGGCTACCTTTCCTTCTAGAAGGAAAGCAACCACA